TTTTTTTTTGGTTGCAGCCATCATTGTTGTTTGGCAGGCCCGGGCTGGATTCGAACCCACCACCTTAGGTGTATGTGGCTGGCGCCTTAGTCACTTGAGCCACAGGCTCTGAACCCCTTTTGGCTATTTTGAAAAGTGCTTCTATGAAAAACCTCAATGGTTAATTTTAAAAATTATACATGTAAGCACAGATACTGCCTGTGGAAAACAGATTTTTAAAGAACCATAAGACATCAAAGTGGGACAAAACGCTTCTTGAAGGTTATATGGAGACATTTTCAGCTTAATAGAGGGTCAGTTCCGTATTCGCTTATTGGCAAACAGTGTGGCATTCTTTCCATATTTGAAAAGCAGAGCCATGATCTTTTTATAAGATGCAAATACAGTATGATCAACATTATAATGTCAGTCTAACTCCTTGTATATGTGAAAGTAAGCCACAATATCAAGTTAAGGATACAAAAGAGACTGGGCATGGTGGCTCCTGCTTGTAATCTTTGCATTCTGGATGTTAAGGCAGGAGGACCCCTGCAGCTCAAGAGCTCAACACTAGCCTGAGCAAGAGCAAGACCTTGTCTCTATTTCTAAAATCAGAAAAAGTAGGCGAGTGTTGTGGCCGGCATCTGTAGTCCCAGCTACTCAGACTGAGGTAGGAGGATCATTTGAACCCAGAAGTTTGAGGTGGTTGTGAGCTAGTCTGACACCATGGCACTCTTTTTTTCTTACAAAAGAAAAAAAATAAAAATTATGGTCCGCATGGCCAAATGCACTTTTAAAGAGCTAGTAAATTTCCAAAGTGTTCTTATTCATTTATTTTAAATGTTCAGGTCCTTTTAGAATTGCTGCAGGCTGGAGGCATAGTTCAATTTGAAGAGAGCCGGCTCATCCGTATGGCAGAAAAAGCTGAGTTGTAAGTTGTTTCACAGCCATTTATTAGTTTTCTATGAAATTATTAAATTACATTTCTCTAACTTGAAGTCCAGTTTATTGATACATTGCTGCTTTTTTGTTTAGAAAAGGTTAGATAAATAACGACAACAAAAACCTAAATATAGAAGTTTTTGCCTTTTAATTCAATTCCCGAAATTACTTGAATTTGCAGAAATTAACAGGGTAAATTTGAAGTATTTATACAATTGTTTTAATATGAAAATAGTTTATCAGGTTTTATTACCTTATTACTTTATTACAATATGCTAACATGGCACCCATAGTACAGTGGTTACAGTGCCAGCCCCTCACACCGAGGCTGGCAGGTTTGAGCCCGACCTGGGCCAGCTAAACAACAATGACAACTGCAACAAAAAAATAGCTGAGTGTTGTAGTGGGTGCCTTTAGTCCTAGCTACTTGGAAGGCTGAGGCAAGAGAATCGCTTAAGCCCAAGAGTTTGAGGTTACTGTGAGCTGTGACACCACAGCCCTCTACCCAGGGCAACATGATTAGACTCTG